CAATCAATATAACTCTTTATAATATTTAGAATGATGCAGGAAGAAAAATTATGAGTCTAAATTGGACTTTAAATCAAATTGTAGGTCCCATAAGCAGCGAACAGTAAGGAAGTATAAAGGAGATATTGTTAAAAGCAAGCTAAAACAAAAGCACTAGTTTAATCATAGATCCTAAATTCATACCTCCAAATATTAATATAACTATATAATTTAGTTATTTACTTAAGGTTAACTCAACTGGTACTTAAATGTTCACCATTATTTATCAAAAATAAAAATTTATAAGAGTCAACTATTAGCAAAATCTATACCCACCAATTTATAGGTTAATTTTTCTTTATAATGAATTATTTTTATAAATTATTCTTAAAATATTAAATAGATCTATGAGCTTGAGTTTCTACTTCTAGTTTTACATTGAGACATGTGAGTTAGGCCAAATAACTAATTTTGTTGAACCAATTGATTTATAACTATTTTCTAACCAACTTTAAAATCAAAGCCTAAGTCAATATAATTAATCAAGCTTTCAATATGATATTCTCCCTTATACTTTAGCATCTAATTAAACCTTTAATATGAGCGTAAGTTTTTTATAAATATTTGTAAGAAACACAAATAAAACTTTTAAACTAATGTATCAAATATCATTTATTTGGATAGAAATAATATTTCTAAAATTTTTTTATGAATTTGGCAATAAAAGAAATGTAATTTATTAACAAAAAAAAAACATAAAAACCAAAATGCCTCTTATTTATTGAATACCATTCCCATATTATTAATAAAAATATTTTAGATTTTAATATTCAAATTTGAAATATTCTTCTTCAAATAATTCAAACCTTATTTATTTTTTCTTAATTTAATTTAAAAATAGCTGATTTTAAATTTGAGTTCAGATAGTAAGATTGCTGCCATCCAAAATATATCAGTTAATATTTAAATCACAGATTTATATTTGCAAATTATCGGAGGCTCTACTCTTAATTTAGGATATCAAAATAAAACGGTCTTAAGTACAGATTCGAGGGATTATGAAATTTAAGATCAAAATTCCCCTTCAAATATAAACTTTAGTTGGAAGTGTACTAGTCTAATCTCTAATGACCTTATTTGCTATGATTACTAGAATAAGTAGATCTAATTGTAGCAAGGAATTAGTAGTATTACATTTCCTGGTAAAACTTTCTAGCCATACACAATAATTTAGTTAACTGTTGTTGGATAAAAAGATTCTAGGAAATCAAATTTCACTACTACTTGTATATTCACAGAATTAGATATTCCTCCACTAAATATTGTATAAACTGCAACGAGCATAAAGAAAAAAATTAATTTGAATGATGATCTTAATTTTTAAATAATTTATGGTGAGAATGTTTCGTCAGATTATTTGTCTTATGCAGGAGCTATATTATATGATAATAATCCAGTTGCAGCTATCAGATTTGATTATTTTCAAATTAGATTCAGAATTTGGAACTATTTTTAAAAA